AACAACAACAACAACAACTTCCAGTCAGTTGGCCAGGTGGTTGTCCTCCAGATTTCTTGGCACAACTTGGTGAGCACAGTCAAGGCAGCGTTTGTTTTTTGAAATATGTCAGTCAGCATGCCATCAATTCCTGGGGCCTTCCCCCCGCCCCAATGCCTTCAGAGCAGCTTGAATTTCTTCCTTCATCACCACAGGCTCTTGCTCATATGTTGCTTCATTAAATTCTTCTATGTTAGCTAACTCTTTTTGCTACGGTGACTCTAGACTCCTTCCATCTTCTTTTAATGCTTTCTGAATCATTTCATATTCTGCCCAAAGCATCCTTATCTGTTCAACATTTGTATACATTTCCCTTATTGATATTAGGTTTTATACAATCATTTCCATACATTATGTTTTATAAATTTAATCACCATTGAACTATGCCCACTGTTACCCTGTCTTTTCAGGTCCCTGCATGATCTTTCCTATTTCATTACCCTCCTCCTCCACTCACCAAATTGTGAGACAATGTGACTTTCCCTCTACCCATCCGCATGCCTCTGCTCCTCTCCCTTTCTCCCTTGGATCCCCATACACGTTTTACTAGTTATCATTCTATTTTTACAATAATGGTCTTATGTAGTATTTGTCATTATGAGACTGAGTTTACTCAGCATAACCCTCTCCGTCTCTCAGAAGTCATGTAGTATTTTTTTTTTAATCATTGCTCCTGAGTGCCGCAAAGTATTCCATTTTGTGAATGTACCACAATTTCTCAACCTAGGATTATAAAATGGTACAGCCACTCTGGAAGGCAGTTTGACGTTACCTCAGAAACTTGAACATAGAAATTCCATATGACCCAGTTATTCCACTGCTTGGAATATGTCCCAAGTTAATTAGAACCGAGACACAAATGGAGAGTGGTACACCAACGTTCAGCAGCGTTATTCATAATCATAAGAATATGGCAGTAGCCCAAAATGGTTCAACTGAATGATTGCTCTATTTTTTAATATGGTCTTGGCATTTGAATTCTGTGAATTTTAAAGATAGGTGCATCTATATTTAGTATTTATTTGTATTTATAGTTTGGTCATGGAATTTCTAGTACAGTATGAAATGACCATGAATTCTTTGAAAAATGGTTCTGCTCAGTTCCTCTGAGCATCATCTGGGATTCTGGAAGTGTGTTCTTGTGAAGGAAAGCAAATCCCCAGGGGTCACAAATGCTTTCTCTGTCTTCATTTTCCTCTGAAGAAAGGAACTGACTTTAAGAGGGGCAGAGAGAGTCCAGTTGGATTTGACATTGGCCAAATAGGAAGCTGCCCAGATGCCCTGGCTCCCCAGCATTCGGCAGCACGAATGCCCTTGGGTGTGCATCACTGCAAGGAAGCAGAAGTGTGCCCTGCTGAGGGTGGGGTGCTCGGGTGGGGGGTGGGGTACCAGAGCACACTGCATCCAGCTGAGAGTGAAATTCCCTGAGAAAAGCCCCTTCCTGTCACAGCACCCACAGCGCTCCAAGCCTGCTCGCAGCCCAACAGCCTCTCCGAGAATGCTACATTTAAAAGTGCAGTTTTTGGATGATTCCCAGAAGATTTTTGTGGTTGATGTAAGTGGAGATCACATTGCTATTATTCCTTTATTATTCATTCAATAATGGTCATTTGTGGACAGCCCATTAGCTGGCGATGTTATGTCTTCTTAGGACCAAATGAAAGAGGACTGTGAGTCTTAGCATTGGACAAAGAAATTGGTATTTACTATCACATTGGAGCTAATGTTTTCCTGTTAACTTTTCGTCTAGAACAGGTTCACTTGTTTCAAGGAGGAAAACATAAAAAGTAAAATTTTAAGATATGCTCAGTATTTGTAAAGAGGCAAAGTGGCAATAACTTAGTGTGCCTAGCTCATAAGGGATTATTGCTCACTGAAATTATTTGTCTATGAGTCTCACCTCATATGAATAGTTAGAGACTATTGCGGCTTTGAGGGAAAGGAGAGGGGTAAGCTGTTCTTCCTTTCTGATGAAAAATCGTCAGGGTTAGGGGTTAGAATTATGCAGTTGTAAAGAGAACTTCAGGAAGTAATGACAAGTATGAAGGAGAAAATAGGATAAGAGACCATTTAGTTTGATTTGGTGCTTATAGTTCAGGGTTCTTAATATAATCCCTAGCTACAAGATGATTGCGTACAATTATGCCTCATCTCTTCAGGAAAGAACAAATGTATTAAGCACATCATTTGGGGCTCATTTTCCAGTATCTTAAGATATGTTCCTTTTGATGGCAGGATTTATGTGCGAACATTCTGAAATGTTCTCTGATTTTACTAGAGAGAAAGAAAAATGCTCTTTGCTCCCCTATTTGCATCATTAGCTACGAACAAGGAATAACTAGTCCATTTTCCTTGAAATTCATGCAAAATATCGGTTGCTTTCTTTTATACATCAACTGACAAATATTGGAGCTCAGCTACGATATTGGGAGTATGGGTAACCCATTTTTTTCAAATGAGTGTTTTATTTTTATTTGAATCAGATGCTTTTGGAGTGATGACTTCATGGCTTTGGCTGTTGTTTTGCTGTCTCTTCCTTCCACTTTTGTGTGCGAAAGGCATTCTCAGGTCCACAGAGCTGAATGTTTTGTTTTTGTAGCAAATGGCTTCCATTAGAGGTATGAGGCATTTCCTATTCTTTCTTGGAACTATACTGAAAGAGTAGAAAATGTCTTTTGAGTAATTTATCCATTTTCAGGCTGGTATTATATGCTTGCAGTGTTCCAGTACCTGAATGAGTGAGCTGGGGATTCAAAAGACATTGCTCTAGGCTACATTTTTAAAAGGTATTTCCAGCAACTCAAAGAGAAATCTTTGACAAAAAGTGACAGAAGACCTTTCTGAATGTGTAGTTCAAATTCAGGCCCCTATTAAATGAGGGACCCAGGAACAAGGCATCACAAAATTCATCTTCTGAGGAGCCAATTCTAGCAACTGGGAGCCTGCATGATTTGGCTTCAAGTTAGATTGTTTCTTTCCAGCTGCAGCACATTGTGTTCCTTGGGAAGATAATGGGAGAGATTTGATACCCAGCAATTCGGGTGTCAACGCAGCTGATCCCTTTTGCTCTGTGGAAGGCTGGGCTGTAAGTAGCAATCGCCCTGTTCCCAAGAGTGGCAACAGCGCTGGCTGGAGTCATCCAACAATAATATGATTCAATCCAACAATCCTAAACAATAGATTGACGATGGTGGTGATGATGTTGATAGCAATGGCCATGGGGGGGGGGAGAGAATTTTAAACATTTTAAAGCAATTTCACTTTCATCAGTTCATTTGATTTCGCCTCCCCTCCTCCCCGACCCCTGCATTCTACCTGGTGAATGAAATGAGAGAGATTAATTTCCCATTTTGAAAACTAAGAGAGGAGGGCTCAGAAGGTTAAATGTGAAAGATGACATAGCATATGGATGCAGAGGTGGGCCACTCATATTCAGAGAGACCTCATCTGCTTGTAGCCTCCTAGTCTTCCAGAAACATCGCTTTACGAACATTGTGTATTTTCTGTTACTCTCAAAGGGCGTATGTATAATTTGGCCTGCAGTGAGCTTTTGATGACAGTTGGTAGATCACTCTTTACTTACACATGAATAAAGAGCTATGTGGGAAAGTCGTTCTTAGAGGTCATGGATCCCACAGTATGATCGGAAAGCTTAAAAAGCAATCTAAAGAATGCCCTCTTTTGTTAGTACTGACATTCTAAACAGGATAAAGGAGTGCTTTTAACCATAATGAAGAGAATTCATTAATAATGGAGGGAAACCTAACAGAAGGCCTTTTGATACCAAATTTGCCTAAAATCCCCAAAGCTATGGATCAATTAGCTCCAGAGAGAATTGCCCCTCAAAGTAAGATTCAAGAAAATAATTGTTTGCATGGGATGATAATAATGGACTCGAGAACTGCCATGCACTTTACAGAAAGAATCTCACTCAACTGGGAACAGACTCGGAGCTGACCCTCCAGGAGGTTTTCAGAGGCTGTGAATTTCATGGAAGGAGATTGCCCATTTTTTCTCTCAAGGAGAAGCTGGTGGATTCGAACCACCTGTCTCTGACTTGGCAATGCAACTCCTTACCCACTAGATCACAAGTAGACTTGTTAAGATTTGAAAAAGACACATGATCAGACAGAGCAATGCCACCTAAGGAAGGCTAATTGAAATCCAGAACCCTTGCCTCACCCTTAATTGCATTATCTTTGTGAATTTGACAGCATCCAAGATCTGGTTCAGGACTAGAGGCTCAGAAGATTGATTTGTCAGTACTTAACAGGTACCAAGATCAAAGACTGATATTTAAACTTAGAATGCCAATGTCACCGTTTACAGTGGGACAGACTCCCATCAGTGTCATAAGTTGTCAAATGGTGTCAGATTTATTCCATCAAGAGACATGAGATATGTGACTCTGTTGCCCTCCCTCAACATACACACACAAACACAGAAAGAGAGAGAAACACACACACACACACAGAGAGAGAGAGAGAGAGAGAGAGAGAGAATACCCTTAGAAGGGAATGTCCTTTTCAACCCGAGCTATTCTCTTCCGTTTTAGACAGAGGCCTTTTTCAATCTGTAATCTCATTCGTATTTTACATATTTTTCCTGTTTGCTATCCCTTGTGCCTGCCTGGGTAGGAACATAGTGGAGGGAGGAGAACAGCTGGGTTTTGTGAATTTTCAAAATCATATTTCATTTGATGGTTTCTGGAGTTGTTAGCCCAATCCATAGGGAATTCTGTTGCTAATCCAAAAGCCTCTCACCTCTGGCAGCTCCAAGGGAGAAAAGTGAGCAATCTCCTCTTCTACAATTTACAGCCCAGAAAATGCAATAGAATCAGCTATAACTTGGTTCTGACTTAATGGCAATGAGAAAAAGGGGAAACATCAAAAGAAGGTTGAAACATGTCTATCATTTACCACATTACTAAGTGGCCATGTCAGTTATTGCAATGGGTACCCATATCGAGTGATTCACCTAGCAAAAAAAGATACAGTGAGTCAGTTCAACTGATACTTTTGGGAGCTCATCAGGTCTTATTTACTGAAAGAAGGCTGTGCCAAGTTAAGCACTATTCAAGTGAAATAGAAAGCAAAGAACTGCCCAGTGATTTACCCCCTCCCCCGCATCAGTGGCTGTATTTTTTCCTTGGGACATTTGTGCAGGAGCTGGTTTTCCAATTTATAATAATAAAGACCTTTTTATACCCTTGTCAGTAGAGATACGAACACATTTTCCTCCATTCATGATGCAAAACTCCTCCAATTCCAACAAGATCACGTAGCTGTGGTGTGTAAAAAGTATGTGGATTTGGTGTTACAAAAACGACACCATTTTAGCAGTATAATCTTGGGCCAACCACTTAACCACTACTTAACAGAGATAAAAGAAGTAATATAAACAAGATGATGTGCATTTTTGAATCCCAGACTGGAGTTTAAATCTGGCTCTCTTCCAAGTTGTGTGGCCTTGGACAAGTCACTTAGACTTTCTGAGCCTTGGTTCTGTCACTTCTAAACACCTAAATGTGAATGTATAGAAAATATCCCAAAGGATGAACCATTTACACTGCTGAATGGAAGCTAAAGAATGAAAGAGTACAAGTTAGGGTATGGGGAAAGTATAGTGGCCTACACAAAAGAAATAGTGAAGGGCCATGTATGAAAGTGAATACAGCCTTAAGAACAAAAAAGGGTCTATGGAATCTTGTTGAAATAGTCTAAATAGATTAACTTGGGTCACTTTTTCATCCTTTGGACCAAGTCGTTGTAATCAGAGAGTCAAAAAACACTGGATAACGAAACTTCCTATTAAAATTTTATGAAATACAGAAACTTGCAATAAATTCCTTTTTCCCCATACCTGATGATCCCATTTATATGAAATCTTGATGTCATCATTACTAGTTACTTTACTATTTTTTAAAATTTTATTAATTTTAATGAACATTTACAGATAATTTGGATTTCCATTCATTCACTGTTGCACTATTTTCTCTACCCCCCCCCCAGTTCGTTCCTCTTTTTTTTTCTTTTCCTCAAAAGTCTGTTTTAATTGTCCCATTGCCACAGTGCTTGTCAAAACCAGCTCTGATTTAAAAAAAAAAAAGGGTCTATGGGAATGAAGAGTTGAGTGAAAGAAGGACAATTCTAAGTGTCTGGCAATCAGGCTGAGAACAGATCATCTGGACCATGTATACTAAATATAGGGGAGTTTGGTCTGAAAGGAGTTGTGTTGGTCACTAAGAGGTCATGCCTTTCTGATGGTTTGAACTCACCAGTAGCTCAGCAGAAAAAAAAGATGAGCAGTCTCCTCCTATGTGATTTACAGTCTCAGAGACCCGAAAGCATTGAGTTTGTGGAGAAGTAATGATGACAGTTTGAGGCCTAAAGTGCGTCTGATTCAGGCCATAGTCTTTTCAATCTCCTGCTGTGCATCTGCGAGCTGGATGATGAATAAGGATGACAGAAAAAGAATTGACGCCTTTGAGGTGTGGTGCTATAGAAGAGTACTGGACATCCCATGGATGGCCAAGAGAAAAGATAGGTCTTGGAG